CACCGTCTTGATTAAAATTTTTTGTATGAGAACACAAAAATATTCTTACTTTATTTAAGTTGTAAATTTCCGAATTTGACGATTTACAATTCAACAATTTAAATACTTAAAACTAATGGTACAAGGGACATTCGTTGTTGCGATGCGGCAAACGAATCACGGGCAGGCGTGCCAATAATCTCTCTACGCTGTTCCGGGGCTATTCTTTCCAATACATAATCCCTCAATGGACGGATCACTGGCAGGCACCGACCCATTAGTATGCTGATGTTCCTCCATAGATGCCTCCAGAGCTTGATCATAATCATCATTGTCACGGTAATAGATGTAAACCCCGATATACACAACTATGTTCAGAATCTTGTCATTCTTGTGCGTATTACGAAGCATGTTCCCTGCGACATTCAAAATGTTGGTTGCCATTAAGTTGCGATCAGGTTCTGGGATATCAAAAGCAGACAACATTTGGTCTGTTATTTGCTTGATTGAGTTCGCTGAGATCCTGCGCATAGGGATGGTAATAGTACTGCTCTTGGCACTATTAAGGTGCAGGCGAGGAACTTCATAGTACCGTTTATCTTTGATGAATTTCAGAGTGAAGTATGGATCACCATTGGGATGAGGTACATCGTCCGGACAAAGAGAATAATTCACCGGCAGAACATTAAACCCGTATCCGCGAAAAACTTCGACAATAATATCATCGGCCATAGCCTTTTGGGAAGCAGGAAGAATTCAAAATAAGAGGTTGTTTGAAAAAAAACTGACGGAGAACAGTAATAATTAAACATCAAACTCAAAAAATATTAGCTCCTTCCTTTCTTACTTATGGTTTAGTTCTCCACTTCCTATGTGAAAGGGGAATAACCAAATAAAATTCTCCAACTCTCCCATAAGAGCAAAAATCAAGCAAAATAATTTAAAAAAAGATACTGAATTTTTCATTGATTAAAAACCAAAAGTCTTACTGCTAGCTTATCTGATCAGTGCAATTCAATCGAAGAGGATAAAAGCAGTACTTGCCACAACTTTAACCCTCCCCGTTCGCTCTTGTTGCTTGGCGCCACGAGACGATCATGAATGTCTGAGGAGTGAGGAGCCGCATCCCTTCTTCTAATGTGGTTGCTTTTATATATATATATATATATATATGATGTTATCGAATTTAATTCTTGAAAGACTTGGAATCCTATCAATTTTCTATCATCTGTTTAAATTTTAAAAAAACTATTTATTATCCATCTATATCCTTTTTCTATGTTTACGTAATCAAGAATATATTTTTTTCTAAAAAAAAAATAAGAACCATTTTAAAGAAAAAATATTAAACAAGTAAATTTAAAAAGATCATATATTTATCATAAATTATTTATTTTGAAATTTTATGAAAATTCCATGTATACCATCTATAGTTTAAGTTCCCCACTATAGTTTTGGGATTTAAAATTTTTTTTAAAATTCCTCTCCTATCATTAATTTTCTATCCATCTATATCTTTTTTATATTTATGTAATCAAGATTCTGTTTTAAGAAAATAATTACTATTTTGAAGGGGAAAAAATATTGAACAGAGAAATTTGATAAGGCCACTATTGGATTAGGGAAAATAAACATGATTTTTTTTTAAACTTTTGATTTCTTCAGCATGGAAATATAAAAAAGGCGGACAAGGTTTTGTAATTTAACTAATGGAGGAAATACAAAATCTGTCTTTAAAATGGACGGAGTAATTAGGACCGATTACTCACGCCAAAAACTCTAGAACTGATAACCGATAATTAACAATCCATCTAATAATAAGTCGTATCGTTAACTAGATATAATTAGCTGCGCAATGAACCATTGAACTGAACGAAGGTAAGATTTCATTGAAAATAAGCAAAGAGCCATTGTATTTAATAAAAATATTGTAATCGTAACATTTCATGATTGAATTTATGTAAAAATATAAGTAAATCGGACTGAAATCGAGAAAAAAGTATTGGGATTCTTTTTATTTTTAATTATTTATTATTAATTATCGAATGATTGATTAAATTCAGAGGAAAAAGTCAAATTGAAGATCCTAGAATATACAAAATTAAAATTTGGGATCTTAAATTTATATAATTTCCGTTAGAAGTTAGACTCGAATAGGAATTATGAAATATTAAAAAAAAGACCTAAATACCCCCATTTATAAAAAGAAGTAATTTTTAACGTTAAAAAAACTTAAAAGCATTCTGAACTCCTAATTTGTGATTTCACAATCATGACTTGTATTTTTAGGACTTGTGTCAAAATAATGTTATTTTTGGCATTAAAAACGTTTTTGGGATTATGAATTTAAGACTTGTTCTTTCACAGTTAGGATTTTTTATTTTCAAATTAATTCTGAAAATAATATCATTCTTAACATTAAATTATAAATACTTTTTAATTAACCAAAAATTATTTTTAAATTTAAAAAAGTATTTTTAATTAACAAAGAGTATAACTAAAAAAATTATAAATTATAAATGCTTTTTAATCAATATATATCTAATTATAAATTAAAATAATTTTTATGAATTATAAATAATATAGCTCATTATAGATTAAAAATACTTTTAATTTATTTTTAGCACAAGAGAAAATTGGAGATAAATTTCTCATTATAAATTTTTAATTACCAAAATTCACCAAATTATTTTGATAAATTTATATTTTTTAGTTAACTAAAAATATTTTTTGAGTATTTTAATCCAGAACTTGTTATTTTCACTTTACATATTATGGATTTAACCGGTTTGTAATTGGAAATAATAAGTGCTCATTATGTGAATTTATTAAGTTTGTAATTTTTATCCCTTAATTTTAATTCCTTAGCATGCGGATTTATAAAGCTGGTGGAAAGCAGAGTGATTCTTATCCCTTAAATAATATGATTATTTGCTTCAACATTAATCGCTTTGTTTAAATTTTTTCAAAATTTAGAAAAGGAAGTGAATAAATTGCAAACACCCGGCTTATAATGTGATGAGCTAGCATCGAAATAGTGAAGTACTTCGATCGTAAGAATGACATTAAAAATTACACAAAGGGCACACCTCCTAACATTCGTGTGCAAGTGCATCTTTGTGCTGATCAGTTGAAACATAATGATTCGTATCCCGGCCAAAAAAAAAAGGATTGAATATAATAATGATCATGATCCAGGCAATGAATCTCTATGGGATGTCAATTCTATTCAGAGGCAAAACCTGCCAGAACCTGATATATCATTCAACTCAGGAAGGGATTCTATAAGATGCTTCTATACAATTATTTTGTTCCACTGGCCACGAATCATTCAAGACCCTTTTCTTTCCATTTCCTGACTGCTGATTCTCACATTTTCTCTTTGCTATTGGTGGAAACTGATACGACAACGTACTGCATCGTAGAAAGAAATTAAAGACATCAGTAGTAATGGATGGATCCTGCCAATCAATCATAGGTTTTGGCATGGCACCAATTAACCTGATGTCTACCAAAATCGGCATCCTAGCTGATATACTTCCTTTATTGAATAATTTAAGGTCTCAACAGTGTCATTTATAGCAGTAACGTCAAATTTACAATAAACTCAAGAACAGCCCTACTTTTTTTTGTCGTATAGCTTTCATCAATTAGCGTCCTCTTACTTTACAAACGCTGCTTTCCACATACGGGTGGTAAGTCTATGAAGTATAGTCTTGCAATAATTTGGTTTGATGGATGGCATCATTTTACTAATTAATCCTGCTGGGGTTCTGGGGAAGTTAACATATCAAATTATTTCACTACTTTCCAGCAAACAAAAACACTGAGAATCAGAAAAGGTAGGGTGCTTAACCTATGCGGCTAGCATTAAGGAATGGTACGTCCACCACTCCAGCTAGTTGCATCATTAAAACAGAAAGAACATAGTTTACAAGTTATAAAAATTTCCACTTAATTAAATGTTCCTAATGATCTAATCATTCTCTCAATCAGCAAACCTTTATCCTACTTGAAAGTTGAAACTTATCTCCATCTGCTTCTGCTAAAACTATAATCCGCAAGGTCCAAGCAAACTCCATTTTCCTCCTACCTTTCCGGTTATAGATAGATACGCGTAAATATCATGCACTTTCTGTAGTGTACAATATTCAGATGTCTTATTGCATCAGAAAGCTTACTGAGTGGATCTTCCACTATAATCAAATCCTGGCTATTTCTGAATTTCCAAGTGAAAATTCTATTTTTTTTCCTCAGTCCTAAATGCATAAGAACTTCAGAGAAAACAGCTTCCCTTTTGGTTTTTCCCCCCCTTGAATGCACGGCACCTCTCAACCTTTTTCATGCAAAGTTGAAAGGAAAATATGGCATAAGTACGCGTTGTGAACTAACACATGGCATGAAAAAGCTTATTGAGTGCATGCGGAATTTCATTTTCCACTTGTCCCTTCAGGCTTCGCGTCATGAATCCACTATCTTTCTGATCTACGTACGGATTGTATATATTGCAGAACAGATCATATGTGGCGTCCTCCTCATAGTGACGAATGCAGAATCCATATATGGCTGGTACATGATGTATAGATTGTAACCCGCTTAAGAATAGTTTGAAACCTGACGGACCAGGGATCTTTCCGATAGAGGTAAAAAAGAGGATGCAGATTACCATTTCTTGATGCCCCAAGTCGCACAATTATTTAACTCTTTCCTTTTTCTTCATCACATTGAAAGTTTTTGTCTCGTATTACTCGCCATCTTTTTTCTTTTGGGGCTGTAATATCATTTCAGTTCCTGAGGCAACTTGCACAAGAAACCCTCCAAGCTCAAACGGGGATTTGAAACTAACTTACCAGCAGAATAATCCTTTCCTAAATTAGCAGATTACGCAGTCCCAATTCTACCATAAATACCAGTTAACTGGCCCAGCACTTTACAAGCAAACAACAAAGAAACCAAATATTCAGTTAACTGAAATTCGAACTCTCCAGTGAGCTGAGGACGCTGAGGAAACAATGAAGAAGATGTTGATCGTCAAGTTTCTTCAGATTGTTCTGCTGCTAATTTTCTCTAGTAAATCCACCGTAGCAGACAAGAAAACGCAGCCATCTAAGACCACGTACATTATTCAAATGGACCCATCCACTATGCCATCTAGTTTCAACGATCAGCTCCAGTGGTATGCTTCATCACTAAGATCAATATCGGACTCTGCAGAGATGCTCTATGCCTACAAACATGCAATCCAAGGCTTCTCCACGAGGCTAACCAATGAAGAAGCAGAGTTGCTTGCAAAGCAACCAGGAGTGTTATCTGCCATCCCTGAGACTGTATATAAGCTTCACACTACTCGAACACCACAGTTTCTTGGATTAGAAAAAGGCAGCACTAATTACTTGCCTGCCACTGAGAAAGAAAGCGACGTGATTATCGGAGTAATCGACACTGGCGTATGGCCTGAGCTACAAAGTTTCAACGATGCCGGACTTGGACCAGTACCCAGTAGATGGAAGGGCGAATGTGAGACAGAGAAAGACTTCAACGCATCAAGCTGTAACCGGAAACTAGTGGGTGCAAGATATTTCTTAAAAGGGCGTGAAGCAGCTGCAGGAACCATCAACGGAACTGAAGAATCAAGATCACCTAGGGATACCCTAGGCCATGGAACTCACACGTCCTCTACAGCAGGTGGGTCCATAGTTGCAAACGCTAGCCTCTTTGGTTATGCTTTTGGGAAAGCAAGAGGGATGGCCACAAAAGCTAGACTAGCAATATACAAGGCGTGTTGGGAATATGGTTGCTTCACGACTGACGTTCTTGCTGCGATTGAGAAGGCCATCGAGGACGGCGTCAATATCATATCCATATCCCTCGGGGCCGATCATCCAACTGATTATTATGAAGACGTTATCGCAATCGGATCATTCAAAGCCGCAGCTCATGGAATATTTGTATCTGCTGCAGCAGGAAATGGTGGTCCCTACCCGAAAAGCTTATCTAATATGGCGCCATGGATAACCAACGTCGGCGCCGGAGCCATAGATCGTGACTTCCCGGTCTATGTCAGACTCGGAAACGGAAAGAATTACACCGGAGCTTCTCTTTACAGTGGCGAACCCTTACCTGGTTATCCGTTGCCCCTTGTTTATGCGGGTAATGTAAGCAGCCCTCCTTCCGCTCTGTGCGACGAGCACACTTTAATTCCCTCGAAAGTTAAGGGAAAGATCGTGATATGTGAGCAAGGATTCATTAATAGTGTGGATACAGGCTTCCAGGTGAACAAAACTGGTGGGCTTGGGATGATTTTAATCAACACTAAGGAAGACGGCGAAGAGATATTTGCAAAAGCATATCTCGCTCCCGCGGCTTCTTTGGGTTACAAAGCCGGCGACGAATTAAAGAAATATGCTTTGTCTGACCGAAATCCGAGGGCTACACTTACTTTCGGAGGCACCAAGGTACACGTTCAACCGTCACCGGTGGTTGCAGCTTTCAGTTCCAGAGGTCCAAATCCCTTGACCCCAGGAATACTGAAGCCAGATTTGATTGCACCAGGAAAGAATATCCTAGCTGGGTGGACCCACGCAGCTGGACCGTCTGAGCTGGACTATGATACGAGGCGTGTGAGCTTCAATATCATTTCTGGGACATCCATGTCTTGTCCTCATGTAAGTGGGCTAGGCGCAATGCTGAAGGGAGCTCACCCAGATTGGAGTCCTGCGACGATACGATCTGCTCTCATGACTACGGCCTACACGACCGACAAAAATGGGGCGGCCTTACTCGATTTTGCCACTGGGAAACCTGCGACGCCATTTGATTTCGGAGCTGGACACGTGGATCCCGCAGCTGCGCTTGATCCGGGTCTGGTGTATGATGCTACCACCAATGACTACCTCAACTTCTTATGTGCCTTGGACTATACTTCAAGTCAAATCAAGCAAGCCACCGGACAAGACTTTACCTGCGACTCAAGAAAGAAGTATAGGGTGGAAGATTTGAACTACCCATCTTTTGCCGTCAATATGAAAACAGCTTCAGGCTCTGGTAAACCCATGAGTGTCCAACACACGAGAATCCTGACTAATGTGGGAGAACCAGGAACTTACAAGGTTTCTGTGTCGTCCCCGTCTTCGTCGGTGAAGATTGAGGTTGAACCGACGACGCTTTGTTTCAGCAAAATGTACGAGAAGAAGAGCTTTACGGTGACATTCAATACTTGGGCTTCGATGCCTAGTGGCACAACCACCTTTGGTCATCTGGAATGGTCAGATGGGAAACATAAAGTCGTTTCTCCGATTGCTCTTGGCTGGACATGATCATCATTTCTGGAGTTCCTGCGTCTTCAACTGTGAAAATATCTTATAAAAAAAGCTATTTTTAGTATCAATCTTGTAATCCTCTGTTGTTGTTCAAACCTCCTCGTCGAGCGCTTTGGCTGAGAGGTATTCTCTTTCACCTTTTTCAGGAGGCAATTGGACTTGGGAAATTACAAAAAGAATAATACCCAGAAAATTGCAAGGTCATGTGTAGTATATATGAATGATGACTTCTAAATTGCTTTTAACATCATCCCAGCCCTGTGGTATTCACTTGCTATATTTCACTTGGTAGGAAAAAATATTTTAAAGACTGACTGATTGGAAGAATCTAAACGGCATATTATCCGGTCTAAAGACCTCAACGATTGTTAAGTAATGGTAGCAAAGATAAGTTAGAAGACTATAGTCCTTTTATTCTTTTTATCAAAATAACTACACGCGTTCCGGTAAGTTGTGACAGATCAGATTTTTGGGCAGTTTGTAGGTCATGAGACTAAAACATCGATTCTGATTATGAAACATGCTTTAATGACGAGGGAATAATGTTGATTGTTGGCAACGCTTTTAAAGCGCTCAGCCATAATATGTTTCTATGAAATCGTCAAAATCTATCTTGATTGAATATAAAAAACATATTTTCCTGTCAGAATGCATGATCCCAGCCACTTCGAGAACAATACAATATTTTGTTCCTGTTCTCTATTCTCGTCTTTCCTTTTCATCCTTTTCCGACTGGAAACACTTAGGATGACTGAATGCATGTTCCTTCATACATGTCTTCAAATGAATAAGCAGATACAGTAAAATTTTATATGATCTCAATTATTTTAAGACGGGAGGAGAAAAGCTGACAGGATTGGTTGCTCCGCGCTCAAATCAGTGTTATTGCAACCTCAGGAGATGATAAAAAGTGAAGGAAGAGGTACACAATTGCTTGTCTCTGAATCATCCATCTTCACCCAGCAAGTATTATTGCATTAAACAGAAATTGTCACTTTCAATGCGAAAAAATTCATGGTTCCTCTGTCAGGATAACCTTTTAAAAGGGTTAAGGAACTTTTTTGTCATATGCTACGTATTTAAAAAATACCACCTTTGAAGTTACTAAAAAATATTACAATACACTAGCTAAATACACTAGTTAAGTTGCAAGTTTCTGAAAAATTTATATATTACTCCTGTTCTAGTTATAAGATCTCATTTGTAATCTACAAACAATGATTAAGACTGAAAGTGATGTATTGGAAGTTCACTGGTAAAATGTGTAAGATTTGTAAATAATAAATTTAAATTATTAAAGTTTTAATATTTTATAAATAATAAAATTAAAATAAATACAGTACTTTTTAATTACTTATCAACAATGTTTCGATAATCATCCAATAATTCATTAAAATAGTTGATTAAAAATTTAAAATGATATTTTAATCTTTTATAAAGGTATGAAATAACATTAGTCCACACTTTATCTCTTAATAATGTATAATATCCCGTATTAAAATGCCCAATGAAATAAAATCCTTCAGTGCTACAGTGTAGTTGTTTGTTCTCCGTCGGCGGCAGTATTAATTCTAAACTAAGTGCCCCAGTAGAGACGCGAGAATTTCAAACCTATTCTAATTAAAATTTCATTCAAAACAGCAAACACAGATAGAATTAACATCATTCAGAGTCCACCGAAGACTGACAGACAGGAAGGTAGTACGTATCGAGTTGCCAATATTTTTGTTTCACACCTTCCCAAACTTCTGCTCCCAAGCAATCCTTAACAGGCAATGGAATTAATTGTGTGGAATACCCCAAATTCTCGAGTTCAAGAGAAACCAGATGGCAGTAAACAACATGGAAAAAGGCGTTACTTCCGCAGAGGCCATTGAAGAATGAGTAGATTCCACCAGGCTTCAACAGCACAGGAAGATGCTGATGGAACTCTCTTAGGTCTTCATAATATTCTCCATAGGTGTCAAAGAAAATGCCTGAAGAAAATACAGATAAACCAACATATCAAATATTTCGAATAACAGGTAAATTAGTACAAGATTCATCAGTAAATAGATACAAATATACAATTATGATGTTCAATAAAGAGCTCATGTCTTTCCCAATTCGTAATAGCCAAACTGATGCTCCTCGTTAATATTTGATGACCAATTATGATGTTCAGAAATAACAGCCCTCACAAAACATCAGTTGTACTGATCTTTGAGTATCAAACATAAAGACAATCTCATCACCTAAAATTGTGCAATTATGCTACTAAGACATGATATTGCAAATAAAAAATTGCAGTTACCATCGTATGCTTCAAGCTGAGTCAGAACATCTTGCCAGCGACCAAAAATTATCTTCACGTTTTCCTTTTGCCCCCAACCTGTTTGAAGCATGCGTTCATAAACCTCTGGATGGGCCTCGACAATGGTGTGTGTCACAGGTGCATATTGCTGGATGGCTGTATCCACAAGACCCATTCCGAATCCAATATTTAGTATGTGACCACCTCCTGAACAAATCGCTTTAGCATGAGCCTCCATCAATGGCTTCTCCCAAGCCATCATGACAGCCTTGCTATTAGAGTCCATCAGCTTATCTTCGCTAAAACTTACCCTGTCTTCCAAATAATCTTGATCAATATTGGCGTTTTTACTTTCTCTCCTTGCAATTGTACCCAGGATCAACTCGGCTTGAATGCCTGATTAAGTAGAACTTAGTAACTACATGAAAATGACAACAAATACTCAGAGTATGATTGAAATTGGAAGGAGCCAAAGGATCAGTATTGAAACTTGACAATCTATTTAGACATCATGCATGATTAGACACGAATTCTTCATTTTCACACATTCCCACTTCACTCATATTTCCAGTCCTACGGTCAAAGGCCTACAAAAACACCCTTAGATAAACCAACAGACATCGACTTCATAAGTGTGTTGCGGACAATTTAAACAACTAAACGTCAACTAGGTAAAGATATATGGGACTAAAGGGCATAAGCATTCCAAGGAACTCATTCGTGTGATGACCGCAGGAATTGGTATTACACCTGACAATAAACACGAAAACAGTTTACCTTTTATTTAAATCTCGACATTTAATTTTGAATGGGGTGGATACACTTTCTTTGAGTCCTGAGTTTTTAGCAGACTGTCGAGATTTTTACATCATTTAATTCCAGCAAATATCACGATTTCTTACAGTGCGAAGCTGCTCATATAAATTTAAGTTTAATAAAAGCCCCGTTGCCCGTCGCTATTCTTTAGTGGACCTTTAAGTTTAATAAAATAAATTATAGTTAAGAATTCGTTGATACTTAGTATCGATAGGGAGATAAGAAAAAGAGATCAGGCAGACAAGGGCAAATGGAAACCAAGCAGAGAAGGACCGTACCAGCATTGAGGAGGACCTCGAAGGCATCCTGGTGGCCTTCCTGCATAGCGAAATCGCCAGCAGAGAGGCTTGAAGGAGAAAGAGCGTTCCAGGGGGCGCCAGCAGAGAGGAGGATCTTCAGCACCTCGGCGTGGCCAAGTTTAGCCGCGTGCATCAGAGGAGAAAGACCATCGGCATCGAAATAGGTAACATCGGCTGCGGATTTTATAAGAGCTCTCACCTTGTCGGAGTCGCCGTTCTTCGCGGCCTCGCATAGCTGCTCTCCTTCATTCATGTCTTTGTTCTCTAATTCAGTAGCCTGCGGCCGAAAACCTTGCCTCAAGACGCAGGTACCGGCAATTCGAGCTAAGTTTCTCATAATTACGCTCGTTCCCCAGGCTTTGTGAAATCTGAAATAGGCCACAGATTCTCTTGGACTTCTTATAATATAAACTTTGATCTTTCAATTTTCGAATTATAATTTTTACTTTTTAAAAAAAATTTTATTTATAACATCAATTTCTATAATTCAGTAAAAATTTAAATCATTTTGTAAGAGAGGAAAAATGAGCCTCTCTCCTCATTTGGTTAAAAATTTTGAAGGGAAAGAAAGTCAAAATGTCCCCTCTTCTCCTCTCTCCCGATTTTAGCTCCCCTCCAAATTGGGAGCTTTTGGAGAAGAGTTAAAATTTTGGATCATCATATTCTTATGGTTATTTTAATATTTCATTACTACCCATAAAATATATTATTATAATATTTATTTTAAATAAAAATATATTATCCTAAGTAAAAAATAAAAATAAATTATTATAATTAAAAAATATATATATAACAAAATTATTTAAATAAAAAATTATAATATTATAAAATTAATTTTTTTGTATAAATATATTATTTATTAATATATTTTAAAGCTGAAAAAAAGATACCTAAAGAGAATAAAATTTCATTTTTCTTAGAGCATATAAAATTTATTAATTTAATTATTTCAAATATTTATTATATTAATTAGAATAAAAAATTACTGTAATTTATATAATTTTTTAATGCACATATTAATATGATAAGACTGAATTTCATTAAATTATATAATTTAAATTAAGATGTAAATTAATTTATATAATATATTAATAAAAAAATATAAATTAATGTGTAAGGGTAAAATGGTAAATTGTTTATTACTATCCTCCTCTCCCTTCTTGAACCAAATAATGGATCATTAAATATCCTTCCCTCCCTTTCTTTCTCATCAAAACCAAATAAGGTGAGGATAAACCCCCCTCCCTTTCTCTACCCCATTCTCCCCTCCTTCCTCTACTACCCTCCCCTCAAACCAAACAGGCTATTAAAAAACCAAAATCTATAATTTAAAATTTGAGAAACTGAAATCAAAATAAAGATAAATTTAAAAGATCAAATATTATGTTAACCTTTAATCTCATTTTAATTTCAGTATGGAATCCTCTCTTTTCCCTCGTGTGTTCTAACTTTTTTAGTTTTGAGACGATCCTAATGTAGTAATGTCCACCATACAAATAGTGAGTTGTGAGAGAAAGTTTGACATTAGTTTTTGTCAAAATTTTGCTGAAGTTGTAAGAGCATTATGATATGGCGAGAAAGCTAGGCAAGAATATGAAATCATAATTGATAACACACGAATTAATAAAGCTAGTCACATATAATAAAGCCCTAAAATAATATACTTAACTCTAAATTACATATTTGGTAAAAAAAAAACTCTAAATTACATATATTTAATTTAATTGTTAAATGGACAAAGCCTTTTTAATAACACGTGTTTTGGAGTGGAAAATATGGAGGGGGGAAGCCATCAGCGTTGATTTTTTAACCGATCGTTATTCTTTGATTCTCAGGTCAACACAAAACCGACTAGGCGCACTTTTTTGGTCTCTCTATTGAATTCTTGAATTATGGCCTCGTGGCTCGTGGGAGTCAACTCGGAAGGATGAGGGCAAAGACAGGAATAGGATAGGATTGACCATTGCCTTGGCGGCATTTGAGAAACGACGCCGCAGCAACCTGACATGAAATGATCATTGCGCATGCGGATGTACTTGCATTCCATGGTTCAGCCCGGAGAAAAGTTCGTTGACTGCAATCACCAAAAATAATCGGGAGAGACAAATTTTATATATTTTTGATTTGGTTGGCCGCTGTAACGTTCGTGTTACCTTGCTCCTATCACATCTTACAACAACCGTAATCCTCCTCCTGCAACTAATTCGAACTCTTCCCACG